CCGGGGGGGCCTTGGGGCCGGGGCCCGCCCCAGCCTCTTCTTGGTGGGGGGCTGGGCTGGAGCTGCACGCAGGGCGGGTAGCAGCAGCAATGCTGGGAGCAGGGGTTAGTCACCCCAAAATTCCCCATAGCCCCCCCTCCCAGCACCACTGCTGGCCTCCCCACCTCTGCCCACCCCAAATGCAGGCCCAGCCCAGCCCAGCCCACACCACCAGGAAGAGGCTGGCACAGTCCCTGGCTCTGAGCACACAGCAGGCAGCCTGCCCTTGTCCCGTGCACAAATCTGGGGGGCACATGCCCCCATGCCTCCCCCAGGGGTGTGCACAGCAGCAGGGAGCCACCCCCTCTCTCCAACTACCAGGACAAGCCACCCGTGGCTCCATCCCATGCCCTGCCCTGCCCGGGCAGTGCCTGCCCCTGCCACTGCCCCTCTCTCCCCCTCACCGTGGGGGGCCTTGATACACCCCTGCATGTCCCACAGACTTACCAGCCACATGCTGTTCTCAAAGCCGCTAGGCTGCATATTGCTTATTGGATCAGTATCGGCTGATATGGCTGGTTAATAATTGGCCACCAGTATTGTTAAAAAAAAAATCTTTATCAGTGCACCCCTAGAGGAATCCACTGGGTAGCTTGCAGAGTCAGCACACAATTAGAAAAGATGGGAACAGAACTTAGACATTCTGATAAAGGTGAAACTGTATTTACCAACTTTATTTTCATTAATAACAGCTCCCCATCCCCCTTCTTCTCCCCCATCCCACCACACACACACACACACACACACACACACACACACTCTTCAGACTATAAATTTGCTTAGCTACTAAAACAAAGGAATCTTGACTTGTGTACAGTCTATAATAGACAAACACATTGCTCTTATTGTCAATCAGTGTCATCCTAACCCAGGTGGAAACTATCACTTATTTTTTTTTTAAATGTACAGTTCTGCCATTCTGGTTAGGCTTCTCTTCAACTTCCTGTGGGAAGGCAAAGAACCTACATTCATTCCCCACCCTCACCCTCTGAATACTTCCAGTGCTGAAAGGAATGAGATGAGCAACATTTTAGCCTCTTCATGCAAGCAGCTCCATCTCTCTGAGTCAATGGTGCATTGACCCATAGCATGCCAAACAAACAAGAGCCAACAACTCCCTCCTTCTGTACCCCTCCTAGTAGAAGTACAATCGTTCACTCACTGGGGGCCAGAGACTGCATTTTCACATGGAAATGTGGGTCAATGGCTCTTGCAAGAATCAGAGCCATGGGGACAGGGAGACAGGGAAGGATGAAACATAATATTTCTGGTGCCAAAACCACAGCAGGAAGCTCAGCTCCCTTGGTCTAACACTTTTCTGTAAATGGAGTCTTATTGTTAAGTTCATCCGATCCGAGATGCAAGCACGGAGACTCCATTCTCCCAGCATGGAGGGAACGGTCTGCGCGGCTTAGAAAAGCAGCTAGAGACTGCTGAGTGGATGGAATCTGAGCTCCTTTGATTCTGCGCTCTCTCTAGCTCTCCCACTCCAAAACGGAGAGGAGGAGCTCACAACCCAGAGAGATTAGCATTGTTGAGGCTGATGAGCATGCAAGCCAGGAAGAATAGGCTGTACCAACTGGGGCCAACTCAGCACTGTGAGTGCAGGAAGAAATTCATTTTGGTTCATAAACAAGAACAGCAGCCAACACAAAACACTACCCAAGATGAGAATGATCAGCTGTATCCAGCTACTCCCTTCTGCCAGGGGGTTAAAATAAACCTCACCAAGACAATGCTTGCTTTTATTTGGGAAATAAACATCAGAGCATGAGCTCTCCTCCTTCCCATCCCTCTCCCCAAGAGAAAGCAGGTTAGCTTGTGCTGCACTGGTGCTTTGGTTTATATTTGTGCTTCTAATCACTCCTCTCTCCTCCAGTACCAGCTGTCAGCATCACAAAGGGGATCCCCTGAAGCTCACCTCAATGCTGTAATCAGGGAGGGGAGCCAAGGGGCCTGTGTGTGAACATTGCCCAACATTCACAGCTGTTACAAACCGCTCAGTTAAGGACCACGGCTAGTTTCACAGGCCTGTTCTGTTGTAGGAATCATTGCTTCATTCTGCTTGGTTCACTGTCACTAACTCAGTGATCCAGCTTCCAAACAAAGCATGCAACACTAGGGGCCCCACCACATGTTCAACAGGCTCCTGCGAAGCAGCAAGTATTCACTTTGGATTCAGCTGATTCAGAGAGACAGTGATCCAAATCACTGTCCCAATTCGATTTGGCCTATTCGGATTCGGAGTTTCGGCCATAAACTATAATGGAGAGTCACTAAAATACCTATAACTGTCATTTCTTTGCAGATTTGGATGAAGACAGCAGGGACGGTAGCCCCTTCTGAGAGCATGAAGCTTGCCAAGTTTAAAGGTAGGTGCAGGGTTTTCAATGAAAGTACACCTCAAGCTATGCCTTTTCCATATATAGAAGATCACCCCATCCCCCTCCCTCTTCTCAGATTCTGTTTGCTGCAAGCCTTCTGAATCTGCAAATCTCTCTGAATCAATCTGGAGGCTTCCAATTCGATTCAGACCTTTTAATGGGTCTCCTGATTCGATTCAGATTCAAAGATTCAACCACTGAATTGGGCCGTATCTCCTCCGAATTGAATCAGATACCGAAGCTTTGCACAGTCCTAATGATCAAATTAAAGCAGGATAGAAACCAGCTAGAGTTGTTGCACATTTTCAAGCATTAATTTTGTAGCTGGTTGGCTTTTTTTTTTTTTTTTTTTTATGGCTGGATAGTCATTTTTATGGTGTAATAAAATCTTTGCACATATGGCTGGTCTAAATTTATTGCGTGATTAACCAGTTAACATGTAATATATGTAAAGTGTAGCAGGGGCCTAAGGTTACATTTTGCCTGAAGTTAAGCACCTGGAGTTGTCTTTAGTAACCTAATTAAATGGTCTGATTTTCAGAGGTATTGAACACACAAATATTTTGCTCAGCTCAACTAGAACTATAGGAGTTCATCACCCCTGAAAAATCGGGTACTTCTCTAGGTGTCTAAATGGGACTTCAGTTCTCTCCTTTAGGCTCCCATGTTGTAAAACTAAGGCCTACAAATATCTGAGAGAAGGCCTAGCCATGAGACGGATCAGAGAAATCCCACTGTGCATACAGGGCAGGGAGTCTCGAAGGCCATACCTGAACAGTGCAAGAGCGAAGGGGAGAGCGACCATCAAATCCTGGAACCCACGTAATGCTGGCATTGTAACTGGTGACTTGGGTTACCGTCACATTGACAGGTGGGAGAGGCATTGCTACAAGAAAAGCAGGGAGGGAGGGGAAAACTCTTTAATACACACAGAACTGAGCAGATATGCACATAGAGGAAACTTGGAGCTTGGATCTTAAACTCAATGAAGCCATGAACTGTAATGAAGCTGAACCAAAGCAGGCCTTTGGAGATAGTCCCCGATTGTTGCCACTGGAAACTTATAATGCCTGCTTGACAGGGATTCCTCCTTAAAATAATCTTCTACTTTGTTCTCTTAAACAATTATCTCTCTGAATTGACCTTTATATGGAAGAGTGGTCTAATGTGTCATGTTTCAAAGGCCTGAGAGTCCATGGAACAAGAGATATATTTCAGTTTAAAGGCCAGATTCTCCATTTCTCTTGGACTGCACTCAGTGGTGAGAGGAGGAAGTTAGTTTTAAATCACCTTTATACCTACAATGTTCTTTGTGCTCCCAGAAGTCAGTTCAACCATGCGCATTAGTAAAAGCAGCCTGAAGTCTGCTCTAACTTATGCTTGGCTGTAACTGCTCTCTAGAGGCCATTTCTCAGGTGACAATAGTTAAGAGTGCAGCACATTCCAGTCAGGTCCTGTCCATCTGTATGACTCCTACACTGAAGGCTATGAGAGAAGGTGGCATTAAGCAAGTCTTCATCATCCTACAAGTGGTACAAGGTCTCAGGGCAGGAACTGTGCTTTCTTAACAGAAGAGGGGCTTTGAGGTTGACATTAGGTTGGTACTTAGGCTGAGAGATAAAACACAGGTCTCCTTTCTATGGACTTCCTGCATGAATAAATCACTTAAGTGCTGTGCCTTGGTTTCCATGTAATAAGATAGTAACTTTTTGTGTCCTAGCTTTTGTCTGTCTTTACAATTTAGGCTATAAGCTCCTTGGGGAAATAAATGTCTGTGGGTTTGTTTTCACTGCAAAGTGAGCTCAGATTATAATTCAAATGTTGCCTCTAACTCAAGCTTTTGCTACATGCAAAAATCTTTAACTCCAGCAAGATAGTGCTTCAAGATGGCAGGTTCATCAAGGGATACAGGCTCTAGCTCTAGGGAGCACAGACTGCCAACTGTGAACATGCTCACTATATAGTATGAATGCAGGCTACCGCTACTCGAGCACAGTAAGACCTCCCACCCAAAGTCTTCCCTTTTCAGACCAGAAAGGGACAAACGTTCTCCCCAAAAATCCCTGAAAAAAAATTCAGTGACTCGATTTACTGTATCATGAAGAACTATGGGACAGAACCCCAGAAATGTTAGTGTCACGTAAGTGAGTGCAACACCAGTGGAAAAAGAAAAAGCTGAATGTTAAGATAAGTTAACTACAGTGAAGACATACCCTCTTATTCTGCGGTTTTAGAGTGCCTAGAACAATGAGTCTTTAAACTTGATTGGTGCCTGTGGGAGCTACAATAATAGTAATTTTCTTTTGGAATGTACCCAGCACATTGTGGGCATCACTGGGAGTGCATAATGAACCACAACAATGAAACAGGATGGGGAAGGAGATTTTAACAGTTTGTAATTGTCCCATCAAAAAATGTTTGTCCATGGAGACATAGGAGAAGAGAGTCAGTAATAAATTAGAGACCCAGAGACCCCATATATCTGTGAAACAGCAAGACCTGATCCATAAACGTACCTAGCTTTCCTCACACAAGCAGCTTCTTTAAAGTCAATGGGATTACTCACATGCTTCAGAGAAAGAATGCATATCTGTCGGATCAAGACCTAAACATGCATTTCCTACATGTTCTGCTCTGTCTGAAGCCATCAAAAGTTTTGCCCTTTACTTAAATGGGAGCAGAGCCAGATCAGCAGCCTGGATCATTTGTTAACAAACAAGCTTCCCTCACTTTATAATTATTCCTTTCAACATATTTTTGAGGAATGGAATACAAGAGCCTATGGCACACGGTCGGGAATATGAAAGCTTGGGTCCTTTTCTCCTTCAGTGCAGCAAATTTTGTGACTTCTGGTGAGCCCCTGAACCTCTTGGTGCCTCCCTTCCTCTGTCTACAAACGATCACATCCCAGGGGGGCTGGAGAGATTCATGTGTTGCTGTCTGATTGTGAAATAGTTTGAGAAGAGCAACTAAATGCAATTATTACAAAATATATGAAAACTCTTATCCTTGAAGTCAGCCTGCTTCTTTATGTTCAGTTTACTGAAAAAGGAGTCCGTCCTTTATTTAGCTTGTCTATACATTAAATGTATTTCAGATTAAGATACAGCATGAATTTAAAGGGCAACAGATTTGTGAGTTAAGCCAAGTAGGAAAAAGGCACTCGTATCCCAGAATAAAAGTGGCTGCAGGGGGAGCTATTCTGCAACAGCTAATTTCCATGTATAAACAAGCTTTTCGGGTGACAGCACCAAATGTTTTCGAATTATGTTATACATAACAGCAGAAGAGGCAGCTGCATTGAGGGAGGTCACCATAAAGGAAAACATAACCCATGAAGTGTCGGTCTAAACTTGGCTATTACATTTTAACGCATTAACCAGCATGATAGTAAATTCTGGTTAGACACACCTGTTTGTTCCCAATTGCATTTAGCCCCAGCTGGGAACAAATGTGCATGATGTGTCTAGGCCCGAATTTTAAAAAATCAGGTTAGATATTGTGTTGTTAACATACAATTAAAAAAATAAAATGCCAAACACAAAGGTGCCCTCAGACTTTGCAATTATTTCTCTCGTTTCAGTTATTTGGCTGAAGGGAGAACATGACAAAGGCTAAGGGACTCAGAGAGATGTTTGTTTATGGAAGGCCTAGAAATCATTCATTTAAAATGAGATTTTAAAGGGTACCAAACACAAAAATCCATAAAAGCATTGTCAATCTGTGCATTTTAATGGCCCCTAGCGATCTCT